CAAATGATTCAGTATTAATGTCAAGTATTATAACAAAAAAACTAGATTTATCACTTACTAACAAAACATTAATTATTTTTTCACTTATTATAACTCTATGTGGTTTATATTATTTTATTATTTATAATAAAACATCATCATCAACAATAACCTATCTTATTTCATCATTAAGACCATCATCATCAGAACAACTTAATCCTAATCAATGTCAATTATCTATGAAAGAATCTGATAATTGGTTTTGTGAATTAGATTCTGATTGGAAACGTCGAAAAAGACTTCATCATATACAAGATAAACGTAATCGTTTCTCCGATGCACGTCCATTATTTTTTCAAAATAATTGGGAACCAACAATACAATGTGAATTTGAACGACGTCTTGGAAATATTGGTGATGGAGGAAAATGGATTTGTGATATACATTGTTTTGGACCTATGAATACTACAAATATACTTGTTTATTCATTGGGTTCTAATGGTGATTTTAGTTTTGAACGAGCAATTAAAGGATTATTTTCAAAGGCAGAAATTCATACATTTGATTTGGGAGTGTATAAATGTCCTGAAAATGTTTGTATATTTCATCAAGTTCGTTTAGGTAGTGGAAAAAAATGATAGTTCAAAATCTTTACAAATGATTATGAAAGATCTTGGTCATCAAAAACGACAAATTCACATACTTAAAGTTGATATTGAAGGTAGTGAATTTAATTTTTTTGAAGAATTATTTCAATCTTCAAATAATAATCAAAATGATCTACCTTATATTCGTCAGATTCTTTTTGAAATTCATCTTGGTCGTGCTGGAACTGAAGCACCAGGTCAACGTACACATAAATTATTTGAATTATTTCGTTCAAATCATTATGCAATATTTCATAAAGAAGCTAACTTATATAGTGCACAAAATGTTTTTGAATATGCACTATTACGTTTAAATTCAACGTTCTTTATATCGTCGTTTTAATTGTTTAAGTTCATTAGATTTTTTCATTTCTTATCTATGATTTGTTACAAAAGTGTTTGTTTTGTTTTGTTTTTTTGACAGAATCGATATTGTTTAAAGGAAAAAAATCAATTGAATTTTAATGCAATATTAGTTTATTTGTTTTTGCTGGCAAAAAGTTTGACTATTTATTAATAAAAAAGAAAGCAGAATATTAATACCATTATTAGAGATATGTGAAGAATACACTGAAATGACTGATATAAAATATCAGTTTTGATTTGATTGTTGTATTAGTGATATTGAAGCAAAAGAATATTTTTGAAAATCTTATTAATAGTAATCTGAAATGAATATCGAAAATACATGTAAATATTACAATAGTTGAACTTGAATCATGATGATATTTTATTGAATTCCATGAGTTAGAGATTGTTTGTTTATAACACAATCATAAGTTATCTTAGAATAAACTCTGCTATAAAGAATAAGTCCGAGCAGGATTACAAATTAGGAAGAGAATCGCGAAGGCTTTCTCTTCCCAAAATCTGCGAACTTTTTTCAAAGAATCTTATAGTCTTTCAGAAAATCGTGGTAGGAAAGAAACTTTAGCTCTGCTTCAGATAGATATGAATACGAAGATGTTTTCTTTCACGAGAGAAGGTTTCGATATGTTAGCCTCCATTTTGAATCGGATGTATGCCAGTTTGCCGAGCTCAGTGAGTACAATGTCTAGTATAAAGCATTCGTCTCGATACTGAACTTTCAAGGAGCTGAAAAGTACCACCCCATGTAGTCTTTTTTGTTGTCAGAGCTGATGGTTTTAGTTAAACTCGCCAGTTAACCATGGTTAACCGATGGTGAACTGTGGTTAACCGACGTTTTCTTCCGATCCGAACGACAGGAAATGCCTTCCGAAAAAATCATTATAAGAGTCTTAATAGAAAACTTCCATTCCAAGAGTATTATGTTCTCAAGTCATTTGGATTTCTCGTTTAAATAAATCACAGTCGACTAAATCTATTTATATGTTACATTTAAATTTAATTCTTTCGTTATGTGACCCGTATATTTATATATATGGGCTGGACTTTGCTTGGACTACCGCTGTTTACAATTATAACTTTTCCACTTTAGGCGAGTTCTGCAAGAGCGTGACTCTTCATAATCTATTCTATTGAATGATTGTTCTATTGTTGCGTTAATATACTCTACAAGAGTCGTACTTGGGAAAACAACTAAAATGTGCTAGCCCTAAGGCGCATCAAAAGGCAATATTGAGGCAAAATATCTTTCTGCATACAACAGACAACACTTACACTTGAGATGAAACGTCGCATTCTTAAGGTATCGACTCAAATACTATCGCGGTGATTACACCAATAGTTGCACATTAATTCTAGTTTCCTCCAAATATGCTCCAAGCTGCCGCACATTAAAGTACGATTAAACTATCTTGCAGGATCAGCCTCTTAGTCAGGTCATCAAAGTATTCTCGCAATTAGTAGACTCTGAGCGTCATTGTGAAGCAGTACCAAGTACGGGCATTACATACCTCTCACTTTGTACTTTTTGAGAGCGACCAAAAATGCTTTTGTCTATAGAAAAACCCCCTAACGGAAGGGTTAAAAAATTAAGAATATCTTTACTTTGAATAATTGAATATCATCAATTCTTCAACTATAGAATGATCAAATAATTATTTAGCCTAAAATTATTTCAAATACTTATCGAGAGCACTTTTTACATGGAACTAACAAAAAGAATGTGTTGGATTTTTGTGTTTCAGTCTATGGAAGTCTATGTAATTGTTTTCTTAGAGATTTTATTTGAAAAAAATTGGTAAAGGTAGCGCTAATGGAAATGATAAGCAAGAAAAAAAATGCTTCAAGCATAATGTTTCTCTCAACCGTGACTGCAGACAATAAATGCTTTTTCATCGCAATCTCTATTAAAGCAAATCATAGCTTGAAAAGAGAAGCAACTGTCTATCACGTTTAAGAATTTAGGATATTGTTGTGGGATATAACAACAAGCCAACCATACAAGTGAGATCATTGGTTGAAAGACAATGCAACTCACGAGGGAACCTTTTCGTGTGCCCCCTCCGATTTCAATGATTTTTTTTTGTCTATAGATACGGTTTAGTGCTCTGATAAAAACCTTCAAGAATTTGAGTTCCTGTCACTTCCTTCAAAAGTTATGAACGTTCTTATTTTACTCTTGTAGTGCATAACTTGTAGTTTGAGACATAAATAGCATTATGATAAAAGATGAAATATTCCTGCATCGATTCAATCAAATAGGCTGATTTTTTCGCTATTGGTAGAAGTTTATTCAAAGTGTTTTTTCATGCGTATAAGGTAAACAAATACTACTGTTAAATATTATTGTTAGTATTATGAAAGTAATTTCACTTATGATGAAGTAAAAAAAATTCATGTATAGTGTTTCATAAATAAATTTCAGTTGTCATCTAAAAGAATAATAAGCACGAGTCAAAACGAAAGTTATAAACGATTCTGTATCGATCTACTTACATACAGTAAGATTTCAAAACTAGTTAGTTTAAAAGTCAAAGGTTACAAAATTTCGAATTTTCAAAAATGAAGTATTGGTTTTTGCAAGACAGTTGGTGTTTTGATACCCAAAGGACTGGAATTATGTGTTTTTGCATATGAGACATGAATTTCAGCATTAAAAGTGCCTAGTTTTGAAATCTTGCTGCATGTACATCGATACAGTATCGTTTATAAAGTTCGTTTTGACTCCTACTTATTATTCTTTTAGATGACAGCTGAAACTGCTTTCATTATACCAATAATAATACTTAACAGTAGTATTTGTTTACCTTATACGCATGAAAAAACACTTTGAATAAACTTCTACCACTAACCAAAATATCAGCCTATTTGATTGAATCGATGCAGGAATATTTCATCTTTTATCGTAGTGCTATTTATGTCTCAAACTATAACTTATGCACTACAAGGACAAAATTACAACGTTCATAACTTTTGAAGGAAGTGACAAGAACCCAAATCCTTCAAGGGTTTTATTAGAGTACTAAACAATATCTATAGGCAGAATATCATTGAAAACGGATGGGGGGGGGGGAGGTAGAGGCACCTGCAAAGGTTCCCTCGTGGATTGTTATGCCAACATAAATTTATTTATAGTTTTTCAAATTTAACCAAGAAATTTTTTTGAATCAGGCTATCTTCGTTCTAATTAATCTACATTTGCTCTTTTTGTTTTGCAACTATTTCTTTCTTGCTAAATATTAAGATACATTCTAATACACAGCATTCATAAAATTCATCGCTATAACGAGTCTATTTAAGCAGTATCTTTTTCAGTCTGATACTTCAAAATGTTTGCCTAAACGGTAGCAGACTTTACTTCATAAAACGCCATTTTTACTTATAATAAGAATGCGAATATTTTAATGTATCTATAAGAAATATTCATTTTTCAATAAGAAAACATATTTAAAAAAAAAAAAAAGCATTCTCGCACGTTTGTTTCAGTAAAACAATGCTAAAAAGTCAGATTTGAATGCTGGAAAAATAATTGCGTCCAAACACAAAAGAAAGCTCGTTCAAACGGTAATTCAAATGACGTTAACTGAGGATAAAATACGTGTCTCGCATGAACACGCTTAAACAGTATTTTTTGGTGCTGTTCTAAACTGAAAAAGTGTCTCGCAGATAAAAACGATGCGATTGAACACGTTGCAAATAAAAACCAATGAAATTGAACGCATTGCAATAAAAGTAACGCATTTAAACGCAAAAAATAGCGCTTTTTTTCCTCACAGTTATCATTCAAATATGATCAATACAATTTTTTTTTCATGACAATGTGAAATATGCTCATTCATTGCTTGATAAATAGACAAGCGATGTAAAAACGAAAAAAAAGTTAGTTATGCTTCAGTTGTTCTTGTTTAGTCAATACGATGGCTTTATTACGAAGTGTTTCATACGTGTAGTTGCTCTTTCGTTGTATTATTCTTAAGCTCCTTTCTCTCTTTCCTCAATACTAAACGTTAATATATAACATTCTAGATTTATTTTTTATCACTTTTTGATACGTTCATCTTACACAATTTTCATCACTTATTTATGTCAAAACGAAAAATCAAGAACTTTAATGGTTCTAAGAAAACTTGACTGCGACATATATCAACTAAAAATTCTGCGCTTAAACGAATCTCAATAGATGAATTCCGTTAAATGCGTTGAATAGCTTAAAAAAATGAGAAATCATGAATACTTGTTGAACATAATAAAACTCGTTCAGAAAAATAAGTGTAAAAATAGGTTTTATTAATTGATCTTCGTGTGTTAATATGCATTTTATCCTTGAACACGATAAGACTCCTGAAGTTTGCGCTGCAAATGGGTTAAAACACGTAAATTTAGAAAAACTTTACGCGTTTTAATGTGTTTCACTATAGGTAACCCGTTTTTTAAAGACTCTTCTCTGTCTAGATAGTATTTTATTAATTTGCTTTCCATTATTTATCAAGAATATTTTGCATAATTTATAAAACTTCTTTTATTTTCTTTCTAGTCTTTAATCAATCATATATCAAATGATTCAGTATTAATGTCAAGTATTATAACAAAAAAACTAGAT